AACAGGGCTGGGGCTGAAGGGGTGAGCAGGGCGGGGGCACAGGAAGGTTATTCTGGGCCCACAAATCCATTCACATCCACTGCCACACTCATCACACACACACACACACACACACACACACACACACACACACACACACACACACAGTCACACTCACACCCTTGTACACAGGACAGGCACTGACACCCACGACAACACACAGGGCAACTCACCCTTGTGTCACACCCACTCTGCACTCATGGACAACTGTGACACACTCGTTTACACACCCGCATGTGACCGCTCACACCTGAACACACACCACACACCCAGTCACACTACATCTAAGGGCCTGCGTTCCCATGTGAACATGCACCCCTGCCTGGCCTCTGGGTCTGGGGGCTGTTCCCTGGGGCACCTGAGCACGCGGCCCAGGGCTCCTCACTTTTGGTTTGGGCCCAGCCCTGTCCTGGGGGAGCTGCTGCCTCACAGAAGCTCAGGGAGGGGGCCCTGGGACACAGGTGATCAGGCTGCTGCCCAATGGGCGCCATGCCCTTCGCTCTCCTCCTCCTCGGGCCCTGCCCCGCCCCGCCCACCACCCAGCTCACCTTTGAAGAAGACAAAACGGCCGTCCTGACGCTCGTAGGCAGCGCTGATGTCGCTGGGCAGACCTCGCCAGAAGTGCCCAATGGGCATTGGATAGTTGTCCAGGACGCGGTTGTGCCGGACCCGCCAGAACCAGCGGCCCTGGGGAGGGCAGGGGTGTGAGTGGGCAGAGCGTGTGCGCTGCCTCGGCCTGGGAGCGGGACCACCTGGGACCACCCCTGCCTGGACCAGGGAGGGTCCGGCGCAGGCACTGAGGGCAGCACCGGGGGAGCCCTCGGCGGAAGGGGCAGAGGGGTGGTGGGTGGGGCAGACCCTGGCCTGCTGTAGGACTCCAGGGAGACCCCTCATCCCCTGGCTGGGGCTCTGCCGTCTAGTCTCCTGGCTTCCCAGGGCTGCTCAGTGAGGAAGTGGGGGTGCCGAGCAGCCAGGTGGGGCACGGCTCTGGGGGTGCTACCACAGTAATTAATAAGCAGGTCCTGGACAATTATATAATGAGCAACCAACACAGCAATCTCTCATTCCATGTGCTCTTTCTCAATAAAATCTTACCTTCAGAGGAGTAAAGTGCATTTCTCCTGCTTTTGAATCTGAGAACTAAGGATTCAGACAACAGCCCTGGCTAAACTCCCACCTAGCAGCCAGCACCAAATGCCAGCCATGTAAGTAATGTCACCGTGGACCCTCCAGCAACTGGCCGCCGGGGTGTCACGGTGGGGAGGGGCCGGGTGGGTTGCGGTCGGCCGTCTGGGGAACCTGCAGAGTCCAGGGAGGGGCAACAAGAAGTGAGGAAGCTGCCCGGCCGGTGTGGCTCAGTGGTTGAGCATCGACCTATGAACCAGGGGGTCGTGGTTCGATTCCTGGTCAGGGCATGTGCCTGGGTTTCGGGCTTGATCCCTAGTAGGGGGCGTGCAGGAGGCAGCCAATCAGCGATTCTCTCTCATCATTGAGGTTTCTCTCTCCCGCTCCCTTCCTCTCTGAAATCAATAAAAATATATTAAAAAAAAAAAAAAGAAATGAGAAGGAGGCCCCAGAACCCAGCTTTGTCCTCCTCAGAACCCCGGGACCCCAGGCCCAGCCTGAAAAACCTGTGCCCCAGGTGAAGGGCCTGCCTCGGTGAAAGGCCCTGTCTGTCCACAGAGACCCCCTCCCCGCACCCCCATCCTCAGGAGGATCCCCATCCTCCTCCATAGAGCCCCCTCGTCGGCCTCCCCACTGGAGGCTCGCGGGACACACACAGAGGCAGGAACATGGTTCTGCAGCCCCTGACGAGTTCCATCTGATTACCAGGTTGTTAGGGATACAGTGATGCATGTCTGCCATGTGCCCAGCAAGGTGGGCACTGCGGGTACCAGTGAGGTGCCTGGTGTGGGCACCGAGCGCAGGCCCTGACCCAGCACACTGGCCCTCAGGAGCCCTCGCCGCTGGGGGTGCCTCCTGCCTGAGGACCCTGGGAAGTGATAAACCGACAACATTAGCAGAGAGTCCAGGGCAGGTTTGGGCTGGGAGCGACAGTAGGAGGAACGGGGTCCTGGAACCTCTGGTCAATGAGAATATCACTGAGGCTAGAAGGACAGGGGGTCAGAGATGGGACACTCCCCCCTCCCTCCCCGCAGGCTCCAGCAGGAGCCACTGTTGGGCTCTGGGTGTAGGTTCTGGGTGTGATTTCTAGCACTGTCTGAGCGATATGGACAAGTCACTAATCCTCTCCGGGCCTCAGTTTCTCGTCTATAAAGTGGGACAGCAGTAGCACCTGCGCCTGGTGGGGCTGGGTTGAGGGTAGGCGTGCAGAGTCCGCCAGCGTGTCCCTGCCGCTCGCTCACCATAGAGCTGCTGGATGCCCCGGAGGTCGTCCTCGGGCAGCTGGAAGTTGTCGATGTCCATCCACTGGTAGAATGGCGCCATGATGGCGGTGGGGTTGCTGGAGTGCTCCAGCCCCAGCGCGTGGCCCAGCTCGTGCACTGCCACCAGGAAGAGACTGTTCCCTGAGGTGGGACAGCAGCACGGTCAGCTCTGGCCTGGCCCAGGACCTGGCCCCCTGGACTGTGGGCTGAGGCTGCCAGGGAGCCTGCCCTTGTTTCACTCTTAGAAGAGGCTGAGCTGCTCTCACTTCTGGGCCTCCAATGTCCCCATCTGAGCAATGGGTACAATGATCCCTTCTCTTTCCTCCCACCCCTTGAAGATGGTAGGACAACAGCTTAAGACCAAATGTCAGTGCTCTCCCCTCCCAACCCTGTGTTCCCAGCTCTGCCTCCCTTGCCCTCGCCCGGCCAGCTGTTCTCACCATGCATGTCGGTGCTGGAGAAGGTCCAGGGCTCATCTGCGTCGAAATGGGTGTCCCCGCCCAGACCAGGGCCCGGGAAGTAGGCGTGGGCCAGAAAGCCGCCTGTGCCATCAAAGGGGGAGCTGTCGCCATGGAAGCCGGAGGCAAAGAGGACCATGATGTCGGCCTCCTTCTGTCTCCGCAGCCTGATGTCCTGGTAGGGCACCTCCTGGAAGACCAGGGGCGTGGCCTGCTCCCACACGCGGAAGGCCCTGCGCACCGCCTCCAGCGAGTGGTACCAGCCCAGCTTCTCCGTGTAGTTCTGGATGCTGCAGGTGGGCGGGGAGACAGGCCCGTGAACCCAGGGCCTGGGGCTCCTGCCCACTGCTGGCACCCACTGGGTTGGAAGCCAGGACCCATGGTCTCAAGGTACGTGCATAAGATCTGAGCTGGGCCCCGGCCAGTGTGGCTCAGTTGGTTGAGCATTGTCCCATGCACTGCAAGGTTGCTGATTTGACTCCTGGTCAGGGCGCATGCCCGAGCTGTGGGTTTGATGCTTGGTCAGTGTATGTGTGGGAGGTAACCAATCAATGTTTCTCTCTCTGTCTCCAAAAAAAGAAAAGATCTGAACCGATTTAACAACAATGCCTGAAATTTCAACCATTAGTTTGCTTGGAGGTGAATTTGAAAGAGAGGCATGTCAAAGCCAGGAATTCATTAGGCTATTCCCACATAAGGCTGCATGGTGCCAAATATGCCTATTTTCTGGGAGAAAACGTTAAGTAAATGAATGTACGGGGGATATGTAGCTGAAAGAACCAAAAAGAGCAATGCGAATGCCTGAGGTTTGGGGAACACGGGCTATCAGTTCTGAATGTTGGGTTCCAGGTCAGGCTGACCTGAGTTCAAGGCCATTTTCTGTGTGACTTTGGGCAAGTGAGTCATCTCTCTGAACTTGAGTTTTCTCGTCTGTAAAAGGGGTGAAGGTTAGCGCTTTCATCATGGTGTCCCCGGGAAGGTGAAATGAATGAACTCGTTAAATCGGAGGAAGCCTCGGTCGTGTGCTGGACCATGAATTCACTGGGGGCCTGGGGTCTCAGAGGCCGTGGGAGCTACTCCTCCTCGGGCGACGGAGCTCTGGTGGTGGCTGGACAGACACAGGAAGAGGAGCCCTTGGGGACCGCCACAAGGCGTTTCTTGCCCGAGGACTCAGCACAAAGGAGGAGGGTGCCTGAGGGTTTTTGCAGGACTTGCTGCCTGCCTGCCCACCCCGCAGATACCTGGATTCCAGCCCCCTCTCTTCCCCTACCCTCAGGTGCCTGACACCCCATCCCCACACTGTGGAGGCCCTCAGTGTGTGCGGGTGCAGTGAGGCCGAGCCAGGCAGCTGGTGGGGGGGAGGGGAGGCTGGGGGAGGGAAGGAGGAGAGAGCGGAAGCTGCTCCAAGGGTCCCGACCTTCTCAGGAGGAAGACAGCCTGGGGTGTGCAGCCGTGGTCAGCGTGGGAGCCAGAGTGGGTTTGGACTGTCTATACTGGGCACCCTGGGGTGGGGTGGGGGGTGCTGCTGAGAAAGGAAACCTTCCAGACGAGTCCACTGGGAAGTCTGAAGCCTCAGACCAGGTGATGGGGAAATGCCCTGGCAGGGACGCCACCCTGGGAAGCTGGGGTCCCTACCTGAAGGTCAGGTGGGGGTTGTTCCACTTCCTGCCGGTGAGGGCATAGCGCTTCCGCCGCCGCAGATTGGCTTTCACATGCACCCCGAACTGATCCGGCACGCCACAGCGGGGCCGCTTCATCCACCTGGCTCGCGGGCGGGGAGGGGTGAGCACACAGCCTCCTCCAGGCAGCCCACCGCCTTCTACCCTCCCACCTCTGGCCTTCAGCTGCCTCTTAGGGTGTGGTGGGAGACCAGCTAAGCTTCAGTTCCCTCACCAGGAAAACAGGTACAATGATCTTGTCCTGGAAGCCTGGATGGCCAGCGAGGCATCTGCAAAGGTGGGCCCCGTCTCAGGGAAATCACCCAGGAATGAGGCCTCCTGTCCTGGGTCCGTTACGTTCTGTGCATGTTCATCTAGGATGTGGCTTTGGTTCACTTCCCCTCGGTCCCATTCAGAGCAAAACCGAAGGACGCTGTCCCATCCCAGGCATGTATGCTACCGAGTCCCTCCACTCCTATTCGTGCTGGCAGACATCACTCATCTATCCTGTGCTCCTTGTGGCCAAGCTGGGATACGGCCTCAGGAGCTTTCTCAACACAAGGCTTCAGGCAGCCACTCCCAACCAATCAGAGCTAGCACAGTGGATCAAACTATTTGTCATCTTGTATCCAGACCACGCTTTTCTGGTAACTCCGTGTGCCAAGACCTCCCGAGAGCAGGCCAGGAGGAGGGCAGGGGCCAGGGGCGTCTGGGAAGGGCCCGACAGAGGGACTCACGTCTTGGTCTCCTCGTCAAGCACGCCGGTGACAGGGATCCCGTAGAAGCGCTGCATTTCGGAGAGGGCTGAGGCCAGGATCTGGGCCGAGCGCATGGTGGACATGTGGCGGCTGGGCTGAGGCAGGTAGCCGTAGAGTCGCAGCCAGTTCTGCAAAGGAGAGACCACGGTGGTCAGCATGGTTGGCTCTGGAGACACAGCCTGCATCAGATCCGCCCACCACCATCGCCCAGAGCCGCCACCACCTCCCTGCTTTCACCTCCTGCGCTGGTTTTTATCCTCTCTTAAAAAAATGATTTTATTGAATTTGAGAGAGACAAGAAGGTAGAGAGAGAGAGAGATAGAGAAACATTGACTGGGGCAGGACCGGACCTGAAACCTGGACATGTGCTCTGCCTGGGAATCAAACTGGCAACCTTTTGGGCATGGGACAACACTCAACCAACTGAGCCACATTGACCAGGGCCCTTGGGTCTATTTTCACATGAGCGCCCAATCAAAAGCCCTTTACAAGTCAGGTCTGGTCTCTAAAGACTTCTCACCTTAGAGGAAAAGCCAATTTTTACAGAAGCTACCAGGCCCTCGCTACCTGACCCCACCTCAGCTCTCAGCCCTCACTCCTCCCGTCTACTCAGCCAGGCACCCTCCTGCCTCAGGCCCTTTGCACGAGCTGCGGTCTCCCAGACGTCTGCACGGCTCCCACCCCGTGTGCTTCAGGTCTCCGCTTCAGCCTCACCTGACTGGAGGGTGTTCTCTGACAACACTGAAAAAGACCCCCACCTGCTGTACCCTGCACCCCCTCTCCTCCTTTCTTGCACTTGTCACCATCTGACACACCACATATGTCACTTAGGTGTTACCACTTGTCTCCCCCACTAGGGTGACAGGAGGACGGGATCCCTGATGGGCCTGGCCGAGCTGTAGTGAGAAAGGGGACTCTGGCCTGCCCACCTCATGGTCCCATGGCCACGAGCGCACGATGACCACCGTGGGAGGCTGGGGCACAGAGGCCAGGGACTTCTGTGGGCCTTGGCCACATGGAAAGGGGTCCTTTGCACCTTTCCTGGGCCACCCTGAGTCTCTGGCCCCCCCCCCCCCCCGAGAGACAGAACCTGAAGGCCTGCTGCGCGCCCACAAGGCAGGATGACGACCGAACATGGTGGCTGCTCTGGGCTGACAGCCAGGTGTCAGCTGGCCAGGGCCACGCCCCCATCTGGCTGCCACCAGTGTCTCAGCCAGCTCCTCGGGGACTTGCTCCCTCAGTGCCACCCTCAGCCCAGCCCCGGTATCCGGCCACACCCCTGGCTCAGCAGCACCCGGACGGCCGCTGGAGGGAGCGCTGCTGGGCCCAGGAGGGCAGCGCAGAGACACAGAAAGAACCACCAGGCTTCTCAGGCCCGGGAAACAGCCACAGAACCAGGCGGCAGAGCCGGGGGGGCGATGAGAAACAGCCAGGGCGCTGGGGACAGACAGGGCTGGGAACACATCCAGCCAAGCCTTGTCGAGGTGTGGCCGTTATCCAAGGACCTGCCTCACATCTGGGGTTCCTGTGAGGACTGAGTGGGGACACTAGCGCTTGCACTGTTGGGCAGGGGAACGTGCTCAATAAACGTGCCATTAATGCCGGAGGCCGGGGGCTGTCTGGCTGTCCCTGGAAGGGCAGGTTTTTGCTTCAACCGACAGGGCTGAAGGTTCCAGGCTCCACCAGACATAGGCACAGTCTGGGCATCTCCCTCAGCTCCTGCTCTTTCCAATCACAGGAAACTGCTCCCAAAGTTCCTGGGTGTGTGTCTGAGGGGGCACACCCGCCACCCTTAATGGACGATTTTCCCGAAGAAGCTTGGAGAGATCTAGAAGGTGAGGCCATGATGCTCAGCTCCGCAGGGAAGGGATCAGCTGGAGGTGGGGCTGCTGCCGACAGCGAGGGCACCTGACATCACTTATTTGCATAAGGTAAAAATATCTCCGGGAGCTCAATCACAGGCACCCCGGGCTGATTAGCAGTGTCTGCGGAGTGACAGGAGGGCAGGGAGGGGGAGGCTCAGGCCGGGGCCCTGGGCTGGGGGAGGGGAGCGAGTTGGGCCTGTCTGCAGGGAGGAGCTCAGAGCCCAGCAGAGGGCATCGGATGGGGGAGGCCTTTTAAAAAATATATATTTTTATTGAGTTCAGAGAGAAAGAGAGAGACAGAAACATCAATGATGAGAGAGAACCACAGCACGGGGGTCAAACCATGACCTTCTGGGTCATAGGTCAACGTTCAACCACTGAGCCACACCGGCAGGGCACCTAGTCTCACAGGTGGAGGGCCAAGCAGGTGGAACTTGGTCTTATTGATTTCAGAGAGGAAGGGAAAGAGAGAGACAGAAACATCAATGATGAGAACCACAGCACGCCCCCCACTGGGAATCAAACCATGACCTTCTGGGCCATAGGTCGACGTTCAACCACTGAGCCGCACCGGCAGGGCACCTAGTCTCAGAGGTGGAGGGCCAAGCAGGTGGAACTTGGTTTCTCAGCTGGGGAAACTGAGGCTTGGGGAGGTCAGTAAGCAGCAGAATAGAGGGGCCTCCTCCACGAGGGTCACTCAGTGGGAGGCAGGGAAGGTTCCAAAGCGAACTCTGGAGCCATGAGGCCCCTCCTACCTGCAACCCATCCTGAAGACCCCACCCACCCTGGCTCCTTCAGCCATTTCTTGAGCTCCACACGTGTGCACAGATGCTTCAGGTGAGTGGCTAGGCCCAGGCAAGGAGATGTGGGGCCATCGGGTGTCTGAGAGGGGGTCCCTGGCCGCCTGCCCCTAGGGGAAGCCATACATGCAGCAGGCCAGGGCCGAGCCTGCTGTGGGGCCATCCGGTCAATGCTCACAAGAACCCCATTCCCGTTATACAAACGGTGAGTGAGGTTCAGAGAGGGTGCGTGGCCCACCCGGGGTCGCACAGCGATCTGGCTAGAGCTCGAGCCCCACGCAGAACGACTGGACCAGGCTGCTTGCGAAGCAGCACCAGCTCCGCTCGGTCGGAGGCTGGGGACACCGGGCTCCAGCCCTTCCCAGGAACAGTGCCCAGCACAGCCCTGGGGGAGGGCGTCTGATCCTCCCCACACTCCCCAGCTCTGGCTGGGTCTGGGCACTGGGCCCTGTCAGCTGGGCTGCCCCCCAGGGCTGCAGAGACAACGCCAAGGCAGGCCCGCAGGGAGGGTGTGTCTGGGAAGGAGCTTCCAGATCGATCAATACCGTGCATTAAGCACAGCCGTGGGGGCAGGGGGCGAGGGCTGCGGCCGACACCACAGCAGCTCCTCCCACCGGCCTTATCAGAACCTGTGCGATAAGGTCAGTCCGCAGGGCTCTGCTTTGCTTCTGTCACCCACGGCTCTCCGTGGCTGTCACCCTGGCGGGGCTGCCCAGACAGGCACAAAGGCATCTCGCTGGCCCTTCAGGGCGCTCGGCCCTTGCTGTGCTCCTCCCCACCCCGTGTCGCAGTCTGAGGGCTCTTGGGAGCAAGCCAAGGCCATCCCGGGCACAGAGCGGGATGAGCCTGGGGGAGTCACAGACACTGCAGAGGCAGGGCATGCACCCCAGGCCCGCTGGGCCCAAACCTGCGCAGGGGGTCTGAGCCAGGCGCCCATGTGACCAGCTAGGTGGCCCTGAGCAGGCCTAGGCTCCCCCAGTCTCAGGCTGGAAGGGACCTCAAAGCCATCAAATCCAACTATTTCACAGAAACCTCCATGGGCCACCACTGGGCCAGGGTCCCATCAGGCCTGTTCCCCTGAAAAGATGGGGGGCTCACTGCCACCAAGGTGGCCCGTTCCATCTTCGGGCAGCCTTGACGGTTAGCCCTTCCTCAGGGAGAGCAGAAACCTGCCCGTGACATCTGCCCCTTGGTCCGGACTGCTCTGGCCGCACAGGGGTGAGAGCACAGGTGACCTAACCAGCCTCAAGGCCGCTGAGGAAAGGGGGCGCTGGCCAGGCCACCCCGTCCTCGGTGGGTGATTTACTACCTTCAGAAGCAGCACGGTCCATATTCGAGCAATTCTAGAACTGCCCTTCGAGAAGGGAAAGCTGCAGGTGGGGGAAGGGGCTCTGGGGGGCGCGGGGCTGTGAGCCAGAGAAGCAGGAAGGAGGGTGGCGGCCTGTGTTCCTGCCCCTTCCTTACCTTGTGGCCTCCCAGCCTGCAGGGCTTTCCTTAACCCGGAGCAAGGAACAGCAGGGTCCTCTGGCCGGTGGGTGGGCAGGGTGGGGTGAAAGAGGCCTGTTTGCTAGTGGTTTCGGTTGGCGGGGGGCCAGGCCTGGGCCTCACCTGGAAACCCTCATAGGTGTTAATCTCCTAGATGGGGATGTCCACAGGGCAGAGCCTGGGTGGCCGGACAGGAGAGGGGGAGGGCTCCAGGTTCAGCCAGCCCCCCCTCCACCATCTCCTTCCCACCTGGCTGGGGCCCAGCAGGACAGAACCAAACGTGTTGAAGGTGCTCAAAAAAGCATGGGAGCCTGCTGGGCCCAGGTGAGGCCACTGCGCACGGCGGTTGGTCAGCATTTTACACGTTAACGCGCGGACTCTCCCCACTGACTCCACCCAGGAGATGCGCTCACTAGTCTCATTCTGGAGATAGGGAAACTGAGGCTTGGATGGGTTCAACGACTTGCTTGCTAGCCAATGCCGTTTGCTCCTCACGGTCACTGCTCTGCCACCATTCTGCAAGCACTTCCTATGTGCCAGGGGCCATGCCCACAAGTGTTGGACAGGAAGCTGGGCTCTCACCCTCCAGGGTGCAGTCGCTCCTGGGAGAAGGACAGGGTGGTGTCCGGAGCCAAGGACCAGCTTGGAGAGCTGATCTGGACTCTGGCCTCCAGGCGCCATGGCTCCGGTAGCTCAGCCATCAGATGGCAATCGGATGGGGGCGTCCACCAAGGCTGGCTCATGGCTGGGACCCAGGCCCTCACCTGTCAGTGCAGATGCTGGAGGTTGAATGTCTTGTTTCCTGCTGTTCCCACATGGGGAATGGGATTGGGCCCGAGGCATCCCTCCATGTCTCTCTGATTCATGTCCCTCTCAAACATCTCTGCTGTTCTTACCCCGGGCTGCAAATTCTGTGCTCCCTCCCGCAAAGGGTCCAGGCATCCTGGAACCAGGTCTTTCCGGGGCTCATCTTGTCAG